TATGTAATTAGAATAAAAGTCACCTTAAGAACATTCTTCAGTTTTTCTTTGAAAATAGACCTAAAATTTCCAACTGTTCTCAATCTGCAGCAGAAATTTGTTATAACAGTTAAACAAATGTGGGAGAGGAATGTAAACTCTAGATAAGTCAGGTTGCTGACACTGAAAGTAAACTTCTCTTCCTTTTTCTGTTTTTCCTCATTAGCTCCATTTTTTAAATAAATCTTTGCTTCATTATTATATTTTCCTCCATTTTCAGTTTTTGAAATAAAAACCAAAAACTTTGGAATTCTTGAAATGGAAATAATATTAGTTTAACATTTTATTTCCATGTGTTTATTTGGCAAGCTAGTGAAAATTACCTTATTTGATATTTAGTTTCTGTGGCATGACTCAAGGGTATTTACGGATTTATTCTGGTTTCCTCATTAGGGTCTTTTAGAAAGCATTTCAGTTTTGTTCATAATTTAGGTATATCTTAAACACTTTAAACTTAGAAAAAAATTATGAGTCATTATTTTAGAAATAAGGTATGAATCTAAGTAGTTATGTCATTATATTAATAATTTAGTCATTAATTTAAAATATTTTGCTGTTAATATTTATTGATAACATTTTATTGTCAAGCATAAAATAATATGGCTAATGACTTTATTTATTCTTTAATATTTAGTACATGGTACCTAAAGTTTATGTATTTTCTTTAATAATAGCTAATAGTTAAAAATTAGAAAAAAACAGATTTTTAGATATCTAGGCCTCATATATTTAGATATGTGATTGTCTAGAGAAAACCAATATTCTTGCATTACTACATTAAATGTTTTCAGTAAATAGAGGTCCCCTGAGAATATTGAACTCTACTGATCAATCCTGAATTTAATGGAACATCTTTCTTGCTTTTTATTTGAACACCCTTTGAAATTTAAACATTTTAGGACTTTTGGGAAAAAATATATACAAGACTATATACAAAAGAAACAAAAAATGAAAACATTTTGGGGGTTATGAGATAATTATTAAATGGGTATTTTAAGAAATATTGTCTGCTATTTAAAATTGAGTTGAGGAAACTAGCTTGTATCTGTTCTCAAAATCCTGAAACAAAACTATCACAAACCACTTTTAGAAGCAAAATCATTAGTACAGATGAGGGGTTTTTATTTAGTAAATGTACTTGTTGCTAGGTATTACAGGATGTGTCATTTCTTGAGTGTATGCCATGTGCTTAGCACTATGGTAAGTACTGTATGTTTATTACTTTGTTGCATTTTATTTCTAATAATAACCTTTGAATAAAAGTAACATTTTCATCTCATTTTACAAATGAAGAACCTTAAATAGGGTTAAGTAATATTCCCAACATCATAGTAAAGGCCCAAACCTTAGTTTATAATATAGTGGAGGAGATAAGATACATAAAAACGTTACTACTAATTTTTTTGAAAACCCTGGTTATTACAAAGTGAAATGTAACTATATGCCATGCAGTTAATCTGTGCCATGAGCTGAAGGAAGGAGTGTCTTCTTTTAGAAGATTGTGTGATTAAATGAATCCATTAATTGCATAGCGTGGGACACAGTACATGATAGGTAGTATTATTACTACTACTACTTATGGATATGATTTGGACCAGCGCAGGTGGAGAGTGGGGAGAGGTGTCTTCTGTGTACAGCCTGGAAAAAGATGGAGAACTGTGGACAGAGAGGAGGCATGGCCAGAATATAGTTTGTATAGCAAAGTAGTAGGAGATATGATTGGACAGGGAGATTGTAGCTACATCTTACAAGGTGTTGAATGTCATGCAGAAGTATAACTTAGCCCTCCACCCTCTAAATGGTTAAATTCATTCTACTGCATCTTCATCCTCTGATTGAGTACCTTCTGGAGGCAGATCTCTCGTGAAAGGTGTTGTTAGGAAACAGATTTTTTCCCCCTGTTGACAGTTTTTCATATTAGGAAGTACTTCCTTTTATTGAACCAAATCTCTCTCACTGTAGATTCAACTCAACATTAGGCAAACAATGTATCCATGTTGAGTGAATTCACTATCACATATTTGGGGATTGCTTTTCACGCTTCTCCTGAATTTTTTTTGTATCCTGGGCCAACATTACTAGTTCTCTCAACCAAATTTCATTAGGCTTGGCATTGATTTCCTATCATCCTGGTCCGTTTCTTCTAAGTAAGTTTGTCTGACAACTCCCCCTAGAATTAAATTTTAATTCTTTCAGCTTATTAAATATTAAATGATGATTTGGGTTCTGTTTTTGTTTCCATATTATATTTTTTCTTTCATCTGGAATTTCTAGTATTGCTTACTCATACATTTTCTTCTCAGAACTGTGATTGTATGATTATTAGTTATTTTTTTTCAAATCTACATGAGTAATTAACCCTAAAATTAAAAAGACCTGTATTGTCCTGGCCAGTGTGGCTCAGTTAGTTGGAGTGTAATCCCGTAAACTCAAAGGTCATGGGTTTGATTCCCACAGTCAAGGCACATGCCTGGATTGTGGGTTTGGTCCCAGGTCTGGGCCCATGTAAGAACAATTCCCAGTAGGGGCACCTAGGAGAGGCAGCCAATCTATGTTTCTCTCCCACATTAGTGTTTCTCTCCCTAACTCTCTCCCTCCATTTCCTTCTCTCTTAAAAAATCAATAATCTAATCAGGTGAGGATAAAAAATAATAATGATAAATAAAATAAAGTAACCTGTACTTATGTATTACTTTCAAAAATTTTATTGTCTAAAATTTTGAAAATATTTTATTTGAATATATTAATTATCCTTTTATATATTAACTTCATATTCCATGCCTTAGAGTATGTTAAGCACTTTGTACATAATTATTTAAGACTCATGGAATGCTTATAAGCCAAGTATTATCCCCACTTTAAGTTTAGTGACTGAGGCTTAGAGGAGTAAAATTTGTCCCTCACAAAGCTTTTAAAAGGTGCTCATATCCATTTTACTATAATGCTGAAACTGTTTCCTTTAATATTATTTGCTGTCATCTATATTGGTAATTGTGTCCAGCATTTCCATTAAGTAAGCAATCTTTCACTTTTTGTTTATTATAAAAATTATTAGAGTGCTTAAATTTTTCATTGTATGGTATGTTTAACATCAAGCCTGTTTTAGCTTTTCATTAAACTGATTAGAAATGATAAAAGAGGGTGGTGTGACTCTATCATACTTGAATTTGAGATAACAATATTTCAAAAAAGTTAAAGTAGCTCTGGTGTGTATGATTTTTCAAAAGTGTTCATTGTTGGAGGTGCCCTAAGACCACCCCCAGGTTTGCTGATTCACTGGAGGACTTATAGAACTCAGGATGTAGTTGTATACATGATTAAGATTTATTCCAGTGGAAGAATACAAAGAAAAATCAACAAGAGGAAAGGCATGTGGGATCAAGCCTGGAAGAAATGAGACTCCTGTTTCCAAAAGCCCTCTCCCAGTGAAGTCTAGCAAGACATGCTTGATTCCTACAGTGATGAGAGCTAACACATGGGCCAAGTGTTGTCTGCCAGAGCAGCTCATTAGAAACCAAGTACCTAAGACAAGATTTTTATTGAGGCTCGTTATGTAGGCACGCTATACCTAGTTCATACTGAAATTCCAGACTCACAAAAGGAAAGCAAGTATTTAGCGTAAATAACATTGTTTATATAGTTGAGGCAGTGAGTAACTCTTATCTTTAAGAGAAAGTTTTACATGACTGTAGGGAACTGTTTATGAGCCAAGTTCCCAAAATGCCAGTCAAAGGCCAATCTCGCAAGTGGGCCTTTTGCAGGATAGGTTGCCTCATGCCTGCTTAGTTAGGTGTTATCCAGGATTCAAGAGGCATTGGGGAAATTAGGTATTCTTGTTTACTTATTAGTATAGTGGATGTGATTGAATTTGAAATTTCTTTTCCTTGAAATACTCTCAACCTAAAAGGTATATTTAAGTGTATTTATTTCATTAAAGTCATTAATATAGTATCCTCTCTTTGTTAGTCTGTTGTTCCAGCTGTTGCTTTCAGATATTGAGGAAATTTAGTTTTTCTGCATAGTATTATCTATAACCAGTACCTCAATCTTTATTGAAAAGCTAGTAGGATTTATAATTATTGCTGCTGTTATAATAACTATTATTATTATTATACTTCATTTGAGAGAAACTGTCATAGTGTTGTATCATTCCATTGTGCGTATTTTATAATTTGAGCTATCTTAAAAAAATTTTGGAAATGATATGTAATCATAAATAACAAACAACTGGGTGAAAAAAGTATGATCTAAATGAAACTAGAGCCAGCACTGATAAGGCCTCCTGTTGAGCAAGTATCTCTGATGGGAAATGGACAATGCTGGTCTTGTCTCTTGTTTTCTTGTATTGTGAGCACAGAACAGAACAGTGCATGTTCTATAGCCTGGGGGTGGTGTTCCTTGTTTACCACTGTGTGGCCAGTGTATAGCACAATGTCTGGCAGATAGTAGGTGCTTAAATATTTATTAAATGAATTAGTAACTGAGTCTTTGAATGAAGAGTGACTCATGAGATGTCAGAGAAAGTTAGTTCATAAAATACCAGAAGAATGTGGGAAAGGGGAAAGAAACATCTGTGCCATTTTATAGAGATTTTCAGGTATTCTTTAATAATGGATCATTTTAATCTGATGATTAAGTGTTTATAGAGAGGAACAAGAAGACAGTTTATTGTTTAAAAGGGTTGGCTGTATTAGTTTTTCAGTAGCCTAATTTCTCATTGAAGACATTTTAAAGAGAATTTCCAAAGTGTTGAACAAATGAAACTTACTTTCTGTTTTGTTTTGTTTTGTTTTGTTTTAAAGAGAGGCAGTCCTGATTATGGTTTTAGAAGGTTTTTTTAATATCAGTTAATTGATTATTATTTTTGTTTTCCTTAGAGATTGAATAGATTGAAAAAAGAAACAATCATTGCTAAGTTAGCTTGCCACCATTTCACCAAAAATGTTTTATTTTCTTTCCAGCAATACCCAGGAGCCTTCTCAGCCATTTGCTTCATCAGTAGCTTCAGCACAGCGTGTGCCTGAGAGGCCGGAAAGCCCAGCATTCTCCAGACCAGGGGTGGCCAGTCTCACAACTGCCACTGCCTTCAAGCCTGTGGGCTCCACCAGCAGTGTCAGGTCACCAAGCTGGCAGCGGCCAAACCAAGCAGGTATGACAAAGAAATCTCTAACATTTTGCTTTTCCTAAGTGTAATTATGAAAACATGTTCTGGGGTATATAATAGAATTAATTGGTGAAACCCATTTTCAACCATCTAAGATTTTAAAAGGACTACAGAGAATAGCTACAGCTGTTTTCCTCTCAAAGTGGTTCATAAACATTTTCTGTATGTTATTGCCATTTGCTATTCATAACTATAGAACTGGGCATTTCCTTGTTTTCCAGATTACTTGGGAAGCATGTGTTGTGGATTGTAAATTTAGGGTCTCATTAATGAACTGTATTGTAGGAAGGTTATCTTGGAAAATAAAACATTTTAGTTTTGATGGTATATGCAGAATTAACAACAGAAGTATTTAATGTCATCAGACAATTATTGAAGAAAGGATCTTCAACTTCTTTTCCTCTGAAGATTCACAAGGCAGAAACGGAAGGAGGACATAGTACTACAAGGAGCATTTGAATGGTGTTAGGATGGAACAATTTAGGGTCAGTCTGCAAACGAGTTTTCATTCACTTCTGTAGATGAATAGCTTTAAATAAAGTCACTTAATAACCTCTTTGATCCTCAGTTTTCTGATCTGCAGAATGTAGGAAGACTCTCAGAGTGAACAAAGTTTGTAACTATAGGACTAAAGTAACTGTTTTAACAGGAAGATGGGACTCTACTTAAATGTTGCCAGTCTCACACTCAGCTTTCATCTCTTCCCGTTCTTCATACTGCCCCTGGATGATCTCTCATCCAGATTTCTTTTGGTACCTAGTCACAGTTCTCTCTCCTGAACTTCACATGCTCAAACCTTGTTAACCTACTGCTGTTTCCTGATGGTACCTCAAATGCAGCATGTCTGAAATGTCATTATCTATCTCTGGGAATGGGACACCCACCCAGTCACCAAAGTTAGATTGTGAGTTTGAAACCTCGCACTCCACTCCCCTGTTCTCACAGTAATTAACACCTAATGATTCTGCATCTCAGTATTTCTCAAATTTTTTTCCTCTCCATTGCCTTGTCATTGCAAACAACCTGTAACTGATTTCCCTGTCTCCTTCTCCCACCGTCAGTCTGTCCTCCATACCCCAGCAATGATTTGTCTAAAACTCTGGTCTGACTCTGGCTCCAGCTGTCTCCACAAGCTTCTCTCCCTGCTGCTCCCAGATGGATGTGAAATAGACTTTTTAAAATGTACTTTTTAAAGAAAGAACATTTTATTATTTTGAAAACTTAAAATATTTAGACCAATGTAATTAACCTTTGAAATTTCTGGACTGTTAATTAACTTTGCAAACCTTTTCTTTTGGGGGAAAATTCTGACAGCTCAGCCCATACATTTTAAGTTATTTCCATTTACTTAAAGCTTATCCATCACAGTAGAGATTTGCTGTAAATATTTTGTATGTACATTAAGTAAAATAATTCAGAAAAAAATTTGGTAAGGTAATTAGAAGGGAAGAAGAGAGTATTTCCTAAAAGAGCAAGGGGAAGACTAACTTTCTGAGGTAGAAACTGATAAAAGACACAAAGTATATGTACTGTGGAGGGCAGAAAATAATATATACTGCTTTTGGAAACTATGGTCAAAATAGCACTTTGCTTATTAGAGGGAAAAGGAAAAATTTCACTTGACGTGAAACTTCGAGAGAATACACTACAGCAAAATTACCACAAGAGGGTGACAAACTCCTTTCTTCTCTGAATAATCGAGGCAGGCAGATAATGCAATTACAATCATTATTCACGTGGTCACTATTTAAAATGTACTGTTTACAAAACATATAAATGAATTTAATTTGAAAAACAACAGTATAAAACATTAGACAATATATAACATTATGAACCATTAATATCATAAAAATTGAAAATGTTTTGCTATTGTAGTCATTGCTGAGTTACATCATGATGCTTACTGAGCTCAAATCAGAAGGCATTTGCAGAACACCTGCTATATCTTGCTCTAAGTGCTACACACTGACACTTGATGAGTTGTTATGTTATATATAAAAGTATTTGTTTTACAATATTTTGTAAAAACTGTGTAATAAAAAATCCCCAACTCCCCGAATTCTTCTATTCTACTCTAATAGTATCTCATATTTTAAAACAAAGCAAAACACCTCAGAATCTATTCTTAGTCTTATAAACAGTTTCAAGAGCTTCCTAATGCAAATGAAAAGTTATTTTGATTTAGAAGGTGACAGATGCCTCATTATGGGTTCTTATGTTCTTACAATTCACCTGTGAAAACTGCAGTGCCAACAGAGGGATGCAGAGCTAGAAGGGCCAGTTGTGGGCTAGTGTGGAGTTAGGTAAAGCACCAAGGTAGATGCCATGACTTCTCTCACCTGAGAAATTCAGCCTTCTTTCTCTTCATAATTCATAGCTGTGCACTAGTGTGGGTGGAAAAAAATGAAAACAATTTTTTTATTTTCCTATCTCCCATTACCAAAGAGCGACTATTGCCCATGATGTCATTTTAAAATAATTCCTACAGCTGGGTGGGAGAAGTGGGATCAAAATCACTCAACTGCAGTCTGTGACCCACTTGGTTGATCCTGAAATCAGTTTAATGGACCATAGACAGTATTTTCATTAAAAAATGAAATAGAATAGAAAATATAAGAATATTTTCATATGCTAAGGAAAATATGTTATAAAATGTGATTTTAGTTAATATATGTGTATATAAGTAAGTGTATTTGTACACATACAAACATATTTTGGGTTAGAAGGTAAAGTAGATTTCATACTGTAGTTTATGGTTAAAAGTCTGAAAGTCATTTATTTAAGTAGTATTTTAGTCATACTTTGTCCTTTGGGATGACTAATGTGGTTGTGAACTGATAGCTTAGGGAAAAAGCCTGCATTGAAAGGGCTAATTGAAAGTTCAAGACCTACTAGTGCATTCTGAACCTGTCTTGCATTTCTGTTACCTCCACTGAAGTTCTGGCTTTAAATCTTTGATCATGATTTCACTTGTGGTGTTGTACAGTGTGTCTTACCCACAGAGAGGTCTCACAAGAACACAGCAATGCTGTTCCAGTTAATAAATAGGAACTAGGTATATGTAACAGCATTATAGTTTAGATTGGATCATCTTTTTCTCAGGCATATAGTTTAGTATACATATGCAAGCTTGCCAGTGGCTGCCAAAAAGCTAAATATTTTAGGATGGAAAATGTTCTCAAAAGTTCATAGTCTAAATGAAAGTATTAAGATATAAGAGAAGTCCTGGCTGGCGTAGCTCAGTGGATTGAGCGCAGGCTGCGAACCAAAGTGTTGCAGGTTCGATTCCCAGCCAGGGCACATGCCTGGGTTGCAGGCCACAGCCCCCAACAACCGCACATTGATGTTTCTCTCTCTCTCTCTCTTTCTCCCTCCCTTCCCTCTCTAAAAATAAATAAATAAAATCTTAAAAAACAGATATAAGAAAAGTAAGAATCCAGACTTGAATTTTATGTAAGCTAGTAAACCTACTTCCTGTTCACCTTGTCTTTGGTTAGATTTCCATAATTCAGATGTGATAGTCCATTTAGAAATGTTGACTTGATCTAGAAAAATACATGATAGGTGAGATTCTTCTTGCCATTTTTCAGAATTGGAGACTTGCACTTTTTTTGTTATATTTTAATTCATTTTATTTGTATGTCTTAATCGATTTTGGAATGTTTGAAACCTTCATATTGTACATAATTAATAAGTGGTTAGATAGATATTTTCAAAACTTTTGTAAATTTAGTGGTATAAGTTGAAAAGTATGTTACTGTGTTTATGTAGGTGACCTAATTTGCTATGTAATGTTTTTCCTATATTCTGTTTAGGTTATGGATACCAGATTAGTTCATTGGATGCAAGTATATGTATAAAATATTACTGTCTTACCAAATTTAGTCAGATGTTTTTCACAAATACAGTATTAGAGGCATAAAAAGCCATTATATGTTGGAAGCTCATCAGTTTTCTAACTTTAAATGTGTACAAAATGAGGACGACTCATACAGGGGTGTCCAACCTTTTAACATCTCTGGGCCACACTGGAAGAAGAGTTGTCTGGGGCCACACATTAAATGTATAGGCACTAATGAAAACTGACGAGCAAAAAAAAAAAAAAAGGTTTTAAGTAAATTTACGATTTTGTGTTGGGCCACATTTTTAGCCATCGTGGGCCATGGGTTGGACACTCCCATGAGTGCTCTGCTAGATCAGGCCTATTGTTTGTTGAGCCTGGCTTCCTAGCTGATGGTGGTCCTGAAACAGAGGAAGCCCACCCTGTGGAGTTGAATTTCAGAGGGCCTGAGATGTTCCCGAGATGGAACATTTTGAGCCTTCAATTTGTTTATCTGTTAAAATAAGGGTCAGAAAAAGTCCCTTAGAGCATTCTTGTGAAGCTCAAATGATATAACAAAGTGCTTGATAGAGGATACTCAGAAAGGGCTTCATGCCTTTATTCTTTTCAGAGATAGTATTAATACCTTATACTGTTACCATCCAACAATACAGTTCTCATGTGACTTCCCTTCTTGAAAATATTTTGGGCTCTCTGCTGCCCACACATTTACTGTTTGGCCTCTTAACAGGGCTTGTGGTCTCTTTACAACCTTATGCCAGCCTTTTCCAGCCTCATTTTGTAATATCATTCCTTACATTCCCTATAGTCCAGTCACACCAGAGTTCATCAGTTCATATAACCCTTGGGCACACACTTCTGTGCTTTGTACAGCAGCTCTTTTTATTTGAAAAGCTTTTATACTCTTCTATCCTGGAAAATTTCTCTTCACTCTCTAAGACCAGATGTCATTTTCTTTGAGAACCATTCATGAGCCCTATGCATAGTTGCCTATCCTTTCTCTATGTTCCTACAAAATTTTGATAATGACCTTGTTATAGCATTCAGCATGATCATTTAAACTGTTTACATATTTGTCTTTTACTACTATTTATAGACCCCCTTAAGGACAGGGATCAAGTCTTAGTAATCTTTATTTCACAGC